TGGGAGGCCAGGGCAGGTGGATTGCTTGAGTTCAGGAGTTTAAGAGCAAGAGCAAGACCCTATCTCTACTAAAAAATAGAAAAAATAGCCAAGCTTTGTGGCAGGCACCTATAGTCCCAATTACTTGGGAGGCTGTGGCAAGAGAATTGTTTAAGCCCAAGAGATGGAGGTTGCTGTGACGCCATGGCATTCTACCCAGGGAAGGAAGTGAGACTCTGTCTCAAAAAAAAAAAAAAAAGAACCTTTTGATACCGATGCTGTGTAAGGATAATTCTAAGCTCATTTTTACTAGGATTTTCTACTTTTATTCATTCTCTTGATAAAAATGTATTGGGTGCCAAGGACATAAAGATGTAAGGTGTTTTGTGGGGAATGGGGATGAACACTAGGAAAGAATGCCTGTGGTTCTCCCACCTCCAGGGGAGAGTCATGCAAACAATCCCGACCATATACAACGCACAGTAAGTGCGGGGAGGAGCCAGGTCAGGAGCAGCTGCGGTGCCGGTGCCGGTGCCGCTAGGCCACAGGGAGAGTTAAGCCAGTGCATCCATGTGTGACAGCATCTAGCCTTCCTTCCTAATGACGCCTGACAGAAACCCACATTTGATATAATGAAACCCAACGAGGATTCAGAACAATTTCCTTGTGCTCTAAGTGGGTCAACAGAATAAACGTTTATGTCATTATCATTTCCACTCTGTAGGTCACACCAGACCTTATAGAGATACAAAAACTGGACAAATTTTTCTTTCAGGAAATTATTTTAGTCTCCTTAATGTTTTGTAACGGACAGAAAACTGAAGTATCTAAAGTAAAAGAGTCAAGGGTAAGATGATGATTACAAGACACATGGAAAATGGCAAACTATTGCTATTTTTAAAATAGTGTGGTCCCGCACTTTTTTCTGTTAACTCTTAAACCTATAAGAATCTTGAGGCACCTTTAAATCCACGTAGTTCTTACTCACTTACACTCATTACTTACCAATATGTTGTTTTAAACAAATCACTGAATACTGCAGAAATCTTTGGCGTGCCATCTAACAGCCAGAATCCAACTTACATAAACTGAGATTGACCAAGTATGCTGAGCCAGAGTGCCCAGAAAATTCCAAACACAGGATGAGTTCTTGGGTATCCTGGACTAACGCGGACACACCGGAGCTAATCAGGGCCCACTCACTCCAGGAACAAGGCCACGTTCTGACACATCTATTGAAAAACTCCAATAAAATGAAACTTCCTCTCTACCATTCTAGTCCCCTCATATCCAATTATGTTATTTTTGGCTTTCTGGCCTAACGCTGATGTAAATTCTGCAGACTTATCAATTTTTAGAAAGAAATAGTTTTTAAAAGTTTCACTGATGGAGAAGACACAGCAAAGAGTGATACATTCCCCAGGGCTCTCTCTGCCTTTAGCAGACAGTAACCTAGCCCGGGTGTATGTGTGTGAGACAAACAAATAAATGGGAAAAACAGAAAGCTCAGTTAAGTTAAAGGACAAAGAAGCCTCATTTTCTCACAACCAGACCAAATAGAGGCCCTGTTTTTCAGGAGTAATTTGGATTTGACACCATATCCTGTAATTCTTCCTAAGAGAAATGTCATAAAACCATGAAGTGAGAGGGCAAAAACTTTCTTCAAGGTCACCAAACTCCTAAGCACTTAATTCTCCAAGAATTTTAACATACACAAAACTGTTTAACATCCACTTCAATCTTCAGAACCAAATGCTAATTGCCTAGTTAGGCCATCAAGGCCTTCATCAGACTCCAACTTAAGAGCAGAAGTTCACTACCCCAGGCAGAAGGGAAACTTAAAAATCTAACCAGAAAAGAGCTCCTCCGTCCCCTAACTGGGACAGCTTTCAAGACCCACCTACCTGCAGAGTGTTCTCAGACCTGGACTCCACCTGGCAAAAATGGTGAGTGTTATTCTCTATCTTCTTTTTCTTCTTCCCCTGACCTTCACATTGCCGAGGTGGCTGACAGGGGCCTCACAGCCTACCCTTAGCTCCCTGATATGGACCGTCCAGAGATGGCGCTACTATTGCTGTGCTGTCTTGCCTTTCTCTTAACCAAGTGCTAGAATCTCCAAAGACTCATTTGAAAAGGATGGCTCCTTTTGGATGAGTAATTTATAATTATGATTACTAGCAGTTTGAAATTTATTCTAATAATAGGGTTTCTGAATGAATACATGATAATGGAACACATTAATAACTATGAAGAGAGGCAGTAATTCCTGCCTGCCATCTGGATGCATGTGCTGAAACGAAAGCCTGACAGACAGAGCCACCCGTCTGGCCTGTGGGAACCTCTGCACTGGTGCTGCACCTGCTCCCTGAGCTACAGCCCCCAACATGACATGACGCAGCACGCTCAAACCTAAACTCATACAGTCCCAACCTGTTCCTCCTGCATTTTACCGGTAAAGGGTGACCATCCATCTAGCAGCTGTAATGGCATCACTTTCTCTCATTGCCATTATTCAACTGGTCACCAAGTCCTACTAATTCATCACTTGCTTGACTATCCCCCACTCTCCTCACTACCTTCTACCACCTTAGCTCAGGATGCCTACAGTTCCTGCCCAGATAGTGTACTAAAATACCTACTAACCAGTCTCCTCGCCTCTAGGTTAGTGTCTCGTGAATTTCTCTTCACTCTGCCTCCCAAGCTAGCTTCCAAAATATAAGCCTTGCAAACAATAAAATCATTCTCATATTTGGAGAAAATATAGGTGAACAGCATTATAATCTTGAGAACAAAGAGTATTTCTAAGCAAGACATAAAACCTAGAAGGCATAAATACAATTACTTAAAAAATCTTCTGGGGCAGCACCTGTGGCTCAAAGGAGTAGGGTGCCGACCCCATATACTGGAGGTAGTGGGTTCAAACCTGGCCCCAGCCAAAAACTGCAAAAAAAAAAAAAAGTTCTGTAAAATAAAAGACCACAATCAAAGACTAAAAACAACTGGAGAAATATCAGCAACAGATATGGTGTGGGGCATAGAAATTCACTCAATATTCAAAGAATTCTTACAAATCACTAAGAAAAATGTCAATCTATAAATTTGAAATAACATCTTGAGTCTGTCCCTTGGCTGCAGCAGGAGAGAAAAAATTAATGAAAATAATTACTACTATAAAGCTGTGAGGAAGGCACAAGGTGTCCTGTAAAGATGAGGTGTGGTAAAACTGATTAGATATCACCATTACCACACTTTCTCAAAACGCCCTGCCTAGCTTCAATGACATGAACACAACGACACTGAGATACCTTTAAGCAGTTGAAAAAAGCCTCTGGCCTCTGTTGTTTATGCCTTTGGAACACAGTGGAGCATGTTTGCAAAGAACAAATCATTCCCTGTAAAGCTAGAAGGGCCTTTTGCCTGATTATTGATGTCTCAGCTTTGGGCCAGAAGGTTAAAGTCTTCAGGAACATTTCTGAGCTCACACATCACTGAATCACTGAACCCTCTTATTCCATCAGCACCAGCCTCAGCTGGGAGGCCAGAATTAATGCGCTTCAGGTAAAACTGACGGGCTTTCCATTTTACCCTGAACTAAATGATCAAATTACACCCCCTGACAAGCAGGCCAAGTATCAGTACGGTGTGCACGCTGGCAGTGCTGACACAGCTGCTGGGGACACTCACTCCACCTGGGCATGTGGTCATCCGAAGGAATGTGTCATGACCCTAAATGCAAAGAGTCTGAACGACTCCTCTGTCACATGAAAGCTCAGAGGAGATGGCAAGTCTACTGTGCCCATAAGAAGAGATCTACTTTGCTAGAAAAGCAAATAACTCAAAGTTCTGATATAGCTATTTATATGAATCTCAACAAATGCCAATCATAAGACTATAAAGGCATCTGAGACAAAAACTTTATAGATAATATTAGCGTCCATTTGCCAAAAGGAGAATTTAAAAATTGAAGCTGGCACTAAAACGCCATGCAATTATGAATGCCTTGAAGAGAGATGAAGAGAAGCTAAGCTTAACCAAACAGCCTTGGAAATGAGAATATTAACCAGTCATGGGCCAGTCCTTAAGACGTAGGGCTGTGCCAAGACCCGCGCGCTGAGCACCACCATCCTAGGACGGATGGCTAGTACATCACATTACTTTTTGTTACTTCGACCTGTCTCTACTTTGTGAGCACTACTCATAATTTTTTTTTTGAGATTTTATGCTGCAGACATCAATTCAATTTTGTAGACTGCTTATAAAAAGGTATTTTTTTTTGGAATGAGTTTTTAAATTTCTATTTTGTGGAATGAATGTGTAGAAATTCAAGTTTTCACCAGTGGTCTCTCAAAACCCTTTGATTCTATCATTTGCCTCCAGTACAAAGGAATAAAACATTCTCTAGTAAGTTGAGGCTTACAAAGCCACTGTTATTATTGCTGGCTGAAATGGGCTTGATGGCTTCTGGAAATGAGCGTCACCCATGAGGATACAGAATGCAACCGTTTAGATGGCTTGCATACTGGCAAGAAGCAGCCAGTCTAGAATTCCACAACGTGCACAGCACAAAACCTGCCAAGAGAGAGCCAAATCCTACCATGAGGCCTCCCTTCCTTTCCTGGAGGAACAAGGTGGTGACTGTTTGAAGGAATGAGCGGCAGGAAATGGTGTAATGCTGTTAGTCCTTGGAAGATGTTATAGAAACAGACAGAGAGAAACTGTAGGTCAGAAGAACAGAGTCAACATTATTAAAACAATATATATCAACTGCACGTTGTCTCTGGCAGACCAGGAGAGCCTCCTCGGAGGCCAATAGGCTATAAACCAGTGGTTCTCAACCTTCCTAATGCTGCGGCCCTTTAATACAGTTCCTGTGGGTTGTGACCCACAGGTTGAGAACCACTGAAGCTAAATTAACAAACAAAAAGCAAACAGCACAGCACCTATTTAAAACTAATATGATTCTTCCCTGAGGCCCAGATTTTCAGACACACCCACTCTGGGATAAGTAAGTGTGGACTCACTCTGGGGAGAATGATGCCCCTCGGCAGCTTTGTCTTCAAGCCCATCGTAGGCCCTGCTGGACAGCTGCCTATTGGCCGTCTCCAGTCGATCTACGAACAAAGAGGAAGAGATTAGGAAAAAAATGTGTACAGATTTAAGTCGCCATCCAACAAAAACCGGCCTGAGCACCAAGGGGTCAGGATGAAGAGATGCTGAGGCAGAAGCCCAGAACTAAGTAACTTGGGCAAGAACAACTCAGGCTAAAATATCCAAAGCAAAGTGTTCAGACGCCATACTGTGTCTTCAGGCAATCTATGGCCAATGGGTACATGCGTCTTTCTGCCTCCAAGGCCCCAAACCTCTGACTTGACATTCTCATAAACAGTGCTAGTCTCCTGGGCCTCAAACCCAGCCCCAGTCTAACTTGACCACCAGCTGTATATTGTAGGCAGTGACAGCTATCTGTTACCTTGGAATCAAAAAACTAAAAATAAATACCAAAAAAGAAAGGTCAAATGGGCTAATGGATGAACATTGTACATAGTAAGCTCTATGTTTGCTCAATCCACTTGGTAAATCTTCATTTATACAGTTAAATAATCCAGCTAAACCAATATTTATTGGCCAGATCTGACACCCAGCACAAAAAGGTTTGTGGTAACAGGAAAGGGGAGATCTAGCTACTGGGGCTGCCAGTACATTGAGTGTTTCGACATATGATGAAACTGAAAAATGGCTAGGCTAAAAGTGAAGTAAATGTTATAGGCTAAATAATCACATTCACTGGAGGTTGCCAGGCTACATGTTCCCCAGAGTAGCAGGTGGCTCCTATCTTCCAGAGAGTATCTATGCCTACTTCTCTCTTCACAACTGTGTTTTTAGTCCCAAGAGGAACATATATCCAGCTCTGTCTTCTATGCTACACCTAGCAAGTGCTGCCTTTCAAAGAGTGTTATGATTCAGCCTGATGTAGCAAGGGTTGTGCATCCAACATTGGTCTTTTTGAACAGTCATGAGTTGCTGCTGAGTACTTTTAAAGCAAGAAGGAGCACATAAACTCCCTTTCACAGACTCATGTATACACGTTGTCACTTACAAAGCTCAATGCTGCTACCTGTGACCTACAGACATAAAAGAACAATTGTGCTCTTTGAGAGCTTCTCCCCTTCCCCAGAAGGCTGGAATTCCCAAGATTATCTAACACAGGTAGAATAGCATCCTCAGCAAAGCAACCTGGCCCTGAAGTCATGCTATTAGTCACAAGGATAATTTGGAGCAGAGAAAACAGGAATAGAACTTGACATGCCTCGGAGGTCTCTGTTGAAATCATGAAGTCTTCTAATCTCGCCTTCCAGTTTGTTTCTCATTGCTTTGTCCAGTGACTCGCGCTTGGTGGTGGACTTGACCAGACTCTCATAGGCTTCTGAAATTCTCTGGAGTTCTTTTTCAAACTAAAAGGAAGAATTGGCATTAAAGTAGAACTTTTGAAATGCATACAGTGTCTTAGACTGATTCACAGACATTCCAAGTCTAAAGGCCGTATCTTTAATGCAACCTTTCTGCGTCTCAAGTTTCATGTCTACCAAGTCACGTAATCAATTGATTTCACTTCCTCATCTGCCCTCTATAGGCTACATTAGGATCTAGAAAATTATAGGCTCCTAAGTCTGGCTGGACCATTGGATGTCACCTTGCAAAAGTCCCTCTGTGCCAATATTAGAAAGGGACGAATCTAAATGTAACTTAAATCTCTTATATTTTACATGCCATTTATAGCTATTATGATTATTCTCAGTTAACATAAGAAAAACGTGAAAGTACAAAAAAACTAAGGACTACAACTGAAACCCAAATCTCCAGAAGCTAATATGCTTTCCAGACAGCAAGTCCTGTGCTCTTTCTAGAGACCTTCTCTATCCCCAAAAGAACGTAAGATCCACTCAAGGAAAAGCTTCATTATTCAGTGTTTTTGCCCTTCTGCCTTCAAGTTATCTATATAAAGCATTAATAAATGTGTACCTAATTATAAACAAATGTATCACAGAAAACTTCCTTATCTGCAGGAATTGATATATATGGAATTAAAACTATTGTTTTTTTTATTTCATTGAATCAAAAACTGTAACTGGGAGAACCTTTACTCTGCAGCACACTATAGCTGCTGTAACAGGAGTCTAACACACAGTCTGCCTTTGAAGAAGATGTCGCTGATCCCACTGTCCTGTCATGGAACACAAATGTAGGAGGGAGAGTTAAGACCAGGTGAGAGTGCCTACAAAAATGGACACTTGATGAGGCTCCTGGAAGTCAGAATCAGAAGCAGAGTTGAGGGGTTCAGAGCACCAGCACCTCACTAGGAACCATGGGACCAGAATGTTTCAACATTCTCCACAGGAGGGTGATGTCACTAGGAGCCAGGCACACTCCTTTGTGAATCCCAATTGCCCAGTCAGAAAATCCTTGATAAGATTCCTATAAAAGAACATCCTAACAGATACTCATTGTTTTGGATGCCAAGGAAACAGAAAGAGGGGTGGCAATTCCTGGCCTTTAAGAGCTGCGGGTCTAGGCTGGCTTACACCCAGACACATACACATCTACACTGCAAGGGATAAGGGATATGATGGTGAAATGCAATGACAGTCTAGAGATAAAGTAATTAATTTTGCAGGGGTGAGAAGAGTTTCTTTAAAAAGGAGTATAGAGAAAATACCATTTTAAAGGACTCTTGAAGGATGAAGAAGAGGCAGGCAGAAAAGGGCAAAGGCTTTGGCATTCTAGGCAGAAGACAGAGCATGAGCCAAGACACAAGGCCATGAAGGTGAGTGTGTGCCTTTGATGGGACGTGGGGGTCCAGGCATCAGGGCAAAGCAGAAGCAGCAGGATCTAGAGTGAAAAGGAAGGACTTGACTTTATGGGCAAGGCTTATGTGGGGTCAAAAGTACCGGGAGGGGAGACTCATAAGCAGAAGGGCGGCATGAATTTATCAGAGGTCTTAGAGATAAAACTAAAGGAAGAGGCTGGAAGGTAGGAGGCTAGGAATCCAGCCTAGAAGCTAATGTAAAGAGCTCAACAACAGACGACAAGGTATGAACTTCAACTAAAAGGACAAATCCCAAAGACACTGAAGAGTAGAATCAACTGGTCTTGATGACTGGTTCTGAACAGTAAGGGAAAGAAAGCCACCGCTACACTGACACTCACAGCTTGCAGATGGGTGATGAGATTTAACCAAGATAAATGCTTATAAGAGAAACAAGTTTGGCCAAGAAAGAGAATGAGTCTGATATTGGAGATACCAAGTGTCAGGAGCCTGCAGCACATACTGGCAAAGACTTCTAGTTAGCAGGTAGAGATGCAGGTCTGAGAGTCAGGAAAGAAGCCACAGCATCATCAGCACACAGAACACAAGCCACAAAGTGGAGACCACTTGAGGACATCAACAGAAGACTGGAGGGCTGGGGACGGAGGCATTCATTCATCCCAAGGGGTGGTAGGGCACAAGAACCAAGGAAAAAACTGAACCCAGTGGAGCCACAGGGGCCACGGAGAGCCTATGGAAGAGAAACACACTGTGGTCAGCACCCCAGAGGTCACACTGGAGCCAGGGGTTAGGGTTAGGGTTGGAGGAGACAGTGGGGGGTGGGGGCCAGAGAATGTTGGGTTTTCTGCTTCGCAGCAGCCATCCAGGTCATCCCGAGAACACCAGGGCTCCTTTGGTACCATGTTATTTTCCCAGGGGCCTCCTTATACTGGAGTTCATTCTTCCACAGTCCCCTCATTTCAACAAGGCCTTTCTGTTTCTTCCAAAGGTAACAGCACAGAAGACAGTATGTCCTAAATACTATTCAGTTTCCCCACAAATTACATTTCTTTGTTTTAATTTTATTTTCAAAGGTGACACCTCCAAAACCCACCACCATTTCTGTGGTAATTTTATCTTCAAAAGGTAGCCTGTGTTCCCAGACAGGTAGGCATGTCACAGAAACAGTCCCTCTCAAGATCACTGGGCATCCTCTAGTCACTATGGAAGCTGAAGGTACCACAGACCCTTGAGGTGTCCATCACGACAGTGGCGCTCATCCATTAAGCCCAGGACCACGAGGGAACCTTCCTTCACTAGGCCACCCACAGGAACCTTCCCCAGATCTGATTTTGTACTGTTTTTAACGGTTTTATTTACCTCACTGGAATTATGATATGCACATTCCTTCTGCATCTGATTTGACTGTTAATTTCTTGAAGGCAAAAATAGCTCTTAACACCCTAGAACTGTGCCCTATTAATTAATCTTTAAATGTGTAACTCTTAAGACGGACGTGGACACTGACAAACTATACCTGATCCTGTGTTCTTTCCTTTCACGAAAGGAACTTCCCTCTACACATTGTAAAAGGCAACTTCAGAATCCCTGTCACCGCACAGTTCACTATCTCAAAGGCTAGAACAATCCAGAATTGGCCCATGGCTATGTGCCCAGAAGGTAGGCCAGGGTTTTTGTTCAGAGCAAGGTATTTCCTGTGAGACTGACAGCTGTAATGGTAAAGAAAGATTAATGTGGTCTGTCCAAATCTCATGTTGAAATCTGATACCGAGGGGGGTGGTGTCAGGGGTGGGCCTAGTGGGAAGTCACAGGGGCAACCCCTTTGTGAATGGCTGAGTGAGTTCTAGCTCTTGTGAGAGTGTAACAGATTAGTTCAGAAGGAATGGATCAGCTGCCGTGAGAGTGGGATATTATAAAGCAGGACACACCCCCTGGGTTTGCTTCCTCACGGGTATCCACGTCCCCCTTGACCCTCTGCCACGTTTAGACACGATGGGCACACGCTGGCCTCATGCTCTGGGACAGCCCAGCCTGAAGAAACAAGACCTAAATCAACCACTTTTCTATAGGAATTACTCAGTCTCAGACATGTTGTTAAAGCAACACAAAATGGACAGTGTTATGGAGGTCGAAGCTAGGACTAAATGTAGGGAGTGAAAGAGATGCAGATTTTGATTCAACATAAGAAAAAAACTTCCTGAACACATTTTCCAGGGGTATAGTACATCCGGTAGTGAGCTTCTCTTCTCTGAAGCATTCAAGTAAAAAAGAAACAACTTCCTTTCAGAGACATAAAGCAAGGATTCCTAAGGGATGGAAAGTTGGATTAGGCTTATACAAAAATTTTAAGTCTAAAGCTCTTTCATTTCTGACTGCACACCCCTTCAAGAATGAGAACCACACCTTCTTCTTCACATCCTCTATGCCCAGAACACTTTACACACTCTCTGACATTTGTTTGAAGAGAAGGTTGGATAGGCTGGCTTTGACAGAAATATCTTTAGCGCCACTTCAGACTGTGAGTGTGGTGCAGAAAGGGAATACCGGGTTTGCTTGACAACTCCCATTCTCCCTTCCAGGGCAAAGGTCAGGGAGCTTTCCCTGCAATCTCTCCCTGTGACCACAGAGGTGCAATCAGTGTCCTGGAAACAGACCTACGCAAGCAGAACAAAAAAGCCCCCTATGCTTCCACGGGCAATGTTGCCAGACAGCCACCGAGCAGAGAAAGCCCTGAGGAAATCTCAGCTGCTCCAAGTTCCAGATATGGCTTTTTTTTCTTGAACACCTTCAAATGCATAGCTCAGGACCAAAGAAAGGCCTGCTGTCTAAGCCACAGACTGCTCTGTGAAAGCCATGGTTGTTTCACTTGCAAAAGAGGGTCTTCACTAAAGCAAGCCTGGGGTAACCACCAAGGCTTGGCCTTTTCCCTCAAAATGTCCCTCTATTCCCTGATGGATTCTGAGGCCAACCCACCCAACAGCCCACAGTCTGGTCCTAGTGGAAGTTCCATCCACTAATTAAGTTTCAGGGAAACTGGGAGGTAAAAGGAGCAAAATGAGTAACCAAAAGGAAAGACTAAAAAACAACAGCGCTTTCTGGGGGTCCCTGACCATCATTCCAACTTTAACAGTGATACTAGACTATAATTCAGATCTAGGCTGGGACTTGGCAGTCTCTAAATTTAATTGTTCTTTTCTGCTGTGTTCCTGGCACAGTATGTATAGGCTAAGCTCTGCAATTAAAAATTCATCTATTTTTGGTTCTGCCCTTACAGTGAATCTCTGCAAGGCCAAAGTGCTCTCAGTGCTCTGAGGATGCCAGATGGGATGATACTGTGGGCACAGTGTGGTCACATCCAACATTGTAGGTCCACCCAAAGCACGGATCAAATCCATGCCAGGGAACTGGCAACTACCATCTCTGATAAGCAAGGTTGTCACCTCATCTAACCGCTCTCTGCCCAGATCTAAGGTTCAGTAGCTGCTGAGAATACTGAGCAGACAGGTCAGTGGTTAGGGAAGATCTGGGACCAGGAAGATCCCGGGAATGCAAAGCAGAAAATATCACAGCACAAAGTTCATACAATTTTCTGTCTCTTGGTCCTAGTTGCTGAGAACAGCTATAAAACTAACGGTGATTATGGCAAGTATCCATCAAAGGTTGAGATTTTAAATTGACCAATCTAGTTTGACATATATCACAGATCAGTGAAATGTCAATTCAGTCCTCATGTAATGTCATGGATAGTTCTTTGAAACTTCAAGTGAAACAACATACAACTGGTCTTCTTTCAATGTCATTTTTTATAACATTGGTAAAAAAAAAAATTGTTTTGTTATGAGAATAACAATAGGTTTCCAAGAACCTGTGGACAATGTTAAGTAAGGATCTACTATATTTACAGAACCATTTTTGGGATTCAAGGGAGTGAAAAAGTTTTGGTTTCTAATAGGAAAACAGCTTATGATTTGTTTCCTTTTCCAGAAACCATGATAATCTTTTTCGCCACAAATTTTAAGAATCAACTTCTGTACATGGAGACCACGTCACTGGGAGATTAAGTCATCTGGTTTTTCAAAATGAAAATCTGCATCAAAATGAAGAAAGAGATGTATATTATAGGCCAATAAATATATATATTAATAAAGAAGTCAATGAAGAGTAACAAGAAGACCTCCCAGTTTTTGCACTGTCCACGTAACTCTCTACCAGTGCCCACGGGAAAACACCTGGCACCACGCTCAGGTGGGTCTGCATAGCCCCGGGACACGTCTGCCCTAGAGCTTCATTGGAAAGAAAGAAACGCTTGTTTCCCAGGAAGTGCTGAGTTGACTCTTCCCAATTTTCAGACTGTACCAAGGAAGCAGCAGCCCCTGGGAGGCATCAGAAGCAAGCCTGGGCCTGTGCAGCACAGCACAGGCCTAGAGCCTGGAGACACCACGCCCACTTCCCAACTTACAAGGGTGTGAGCAGGGGTGGGAGTAGGGATGCAATCTTCAGGCAGGCCGTATATGTTTCTAGCTCTCATTTTTCTCTCCAATAAAGGCAGCCAAGAAGTGCCTAAGCTGAGTCTGGTCCTGACCCCAGGGGGCTCCAGACCCTTTCAGTGGCAGATGCTCAAACATGCTGGGGGCAGATGTCTGTGAACATTCGCACCCTCAGATCCACTGCTCTCTGCTTTCTACTATCAGCTCTCAGAAGTGAGAGGGACCAACTATTTTGAAACCTCAACTAGCAAAAAGACCATCCTCACCTATGAAATCAATACTAAATAGCAAACTCTAAGTGGGCCTGCCAGGCGTGTTACTTGCCACTATGGAGCCAATGCTCTTATAGCCAGGTAGGGTTCTTATTCCTACCTTTTCCCTTTACAAAAACCATTTATTCCAAGAACAAAGATAGGCACTTCAATGCTTATAAGATCCCTACAACCACACATGGCGCCCTATGGCTCTCCTGCCCCCTCCCCTCTTCCAACCTACCTGCAGTACATCAGATGCTGACTCATGGGTCATCACGAGACCACTGACTGGCAACAGTTTACTCTTGCTGAGTGTTCTCCTATTCACTTTGGCTCTTAGCATAAATCTCTAAGAATGCAGCCTGCATACATTCCAGCATTCCCATGATCACCACACAGGCTGGAATTACACCTCCCGACAAGTCACAAGTGTGTATAGAGCACATAATCACTTGTCCTCTTGACCCTCCAGTAAGGCAACACTGCCTTCTGCACAGACAAGTGAATGAAACAAACACAGCAACACACCTGTTTGAGAGTCTCAGATTTACAGGAAAAATCGATAGCTGTCAATTAATTCCTCTGTGCTAACTCTCAGTGTTCCCTCTTCCCCAGGGGAAATCCTACTTGGCCTCGGCATCGTCTCTGATCACAGCCTACCCCACGGCACCTACTCAGCTCTTCATACCCCACTGCAGGTGCCGGCTGGTGCAACGCTCTCCCCTTTCAGAATGTAGGCTCCTCCAAGGCAGGCACTAGGTCGTGTTTGTTTTTGTCTCCTTAAAGCCTTCCACAGCGCCAACAGTCAAATGTTGTCGAGTGAGCATGCAAATCAACCCCAGTGCCCAGGAAAAATTCTGCTCCTTCCAGGGAACTGTCTCCCACCCACTCCCCACCACACACACACCATGAGATCACGCACCTTGTGGAGCTTGTCAGCATTGTCGTAGTAACCCTGAAGCTCCTGGTGAAGCACCCGGTTCTCCTCTGTTAGTATCTCCACCATTTGCTGGGCTCTCTCCACAATCGCAAAGGCATCTGGCCCAAGCTGCTGGCTGGGGGAGGCGGCCGGTGGGGGCTGCGGGGCTGCCAGTGTCATCGGCAGTGGGAGCGGCAAGGAGACAGAGTGCAATGGCCCACTGATGGAGGAGGTCTGGGAGGACACGGGGCTGTGTGGCTGCACCGTCGCCGGGAATGGAAGCTGGCATGGGCGGCTGCAAGGCGACAGAAGACAAGCAATCAGACCTCAGGGAAGTGCTGGGGACAGGAAGGAAGCCCCAACAAGACTGGCACCACCAATGGTTCCCACGGCCAGCAGGCGTTCCCAGGCGCAGTGTTCACTGTACCCCCTGATTCAGCACCACTCCGGCTACTGGGGCTATAGTGAACAAGACAGATTGGGACCCTGCTCTGAGGAAACCTTCCAGGGGAGAGAAACAGGTGAGCCCTCAACAATGAACAGACAAAGCCAAGTTTCAAAAAGTAAGGAGTACTCTCTAAAGAATAAAGCAGAGTGATGGAAGGGGAATGACGGAGTGGCTACTTCCTGCCCAGAGGTCAGGGGAGTCTCCGGGAAACCGAGGTTTAAGCTGGTGTCTGAAAGGCAGACGAGAAGGAGCCAGTGGTTTGGACAGAGGTTGGGAGTGTAATCCAGGGAAGAGAGGCAACTGGCACACAGGGCCCACAATGGGAATCAGCACTGGCCTGGGCGAGCTGGTATAAAGCACAGCCAGCACACAGCAGCTGTGAGGAGACTAGCGGGAGGGGATGCGTGGGGCCTGGACAGGAGGGTCCAGGTGTGGCTTAGCGGGGAGCAGACCAGAGCTCACAGGGCAGCAGAAGAGAAACACCTGGGGATTTGGGATTTGTTCTGCATATATCATGGATGGGGAGGCAGGAGACAAGGAAAATAACAAATTACTCCTAGATTTGGGGTTCTGCACAAATGGAGACGGGCACCACTTTACTCTTTGATGAAATAGAAAGTCTTAGGGGAAGAACTGACTTGTGTTTTGTTCTGCTGGGGTCAGGGAGCTCTGAAGATCACAGGTCTCATTTTATCCATGTTAAAAAGAAGACACAGAAATGTTCCTTGATGGCTCAAATTCCTGTTTTAGCTCTTTTCTCTGAAACCGTGATTTTCCATCCCCAGGCCTCACTCCAAAGATTCCCTCCTCACTGTCCTGTTAACCTGTGTCCTAAGAATCACTGTATTTTCTGTCAACCTAAGTCAAGGGCTCCTAACAATAATGTTTATGGTTATAAAGAGCAAACACAGCCTTGGTGCTAGTTTTCTAACCACAGATGTTTCTCTTCTGCAGGGGCTTGGGAAACTAGTTGTCCTGATGGCCTCTTCAACCGTTAGGTCTCAGTCTAGGACCCGGAAGTTAGATGCTAAGAATTAGCACCAACCCCGAATCCTCGACATTCTGTATCAATGGGCTGAGCCCTCTGGAGAGCCAGCTACTTCTAATTAGTAACAGTTGTATGTGTCACCTCCCTAACTTGTGGCTACTCATAGCCACATCTCTCAGAGTTAGCCCCGTTTTTCTGGGTAGGTTGCCAAGTCTTATTTTTTTTTTTTTTTTGAGACAGAGCCTCAAGCTGTCCCCCTGGGTAGAGTGCCGTGGCATTACAGCTCACAGCAACCTCCAACTCCTGGGCTCAAGCGAGTCTCCTGCCTCCGCCTCCCAAGTAGCTGGGACCACAGGCGCCCGCCACAGCGCCCGGCTATTTTTTGGTTGCAGCCGTCATTGTTGTTTGGCGGGTCCGGGCTGGGGATTCGAACCCGCCACCTTAGGTGTACGTGGCTGGCGCCTTAGCCGGTTGAGCTATAGGCGCCGAGCCAAGTCTTATATTTTTAAGCATATCTGCTAAAATGTCTTTGGAGCCTGCCGGCCTCTTTATCTCTCATTTTGTAAGCATTTCTTACGGTCAGAATTCCTCTGAATGCCAATTCCTAGAAGCTAAATGTCAAATTCTACAAAAAAAAAAAATTGACAAGGGTCACCTCAGCCCTTCCTACACGGATACACAGGCCTTCATGAAGATGACCTCAGACTAAGCCCAGCAGTTCCTAACAGACTGAGTAATCTCACTCAGACTAAGCCCAGGACTAATATCAAAGCACTCCTGGGCTCAGGAGATACTTCCCACCAGGACTTCCTTATGCCTTTAATCCAGGAGGCCCTTCCCTTTTATATTAAAATAGCTGGGATCTAAGTTCCCCAGGCAATGTGAAAAACCATGGAGCTCAACGCAATTCTTTATTCTGAGTTTCACCTTCTAATCACCCTTGATTTCAGAAAGGAGCCCTGTCAGTGGGGAGACAGAACCATCCTTCCTTCTTTTCTCCACACACCTTCTGCATAACTCCCTAGCCATTTCGTCACACACAGAACGTTTCTGCATTTTGATGAATCTGTGCCCCTTGCCCACTGAGGAGTGTGTGAACATACGTGTCCACCTGTGTGTACAGGCACTCCAACTCCACCACAAGAGTGAAATTCAGTGTCCAGCTTTCACCCCAGATGACGGGAAACCCTGTCAGGTACGGATCCCAAACATCACAGACCTGTACTGAATCAGTGCTTCCTACCGGCTGGCTAAGTCCTACAACACATGGTTCATGGAAGGTTACCTTGGCAAGAGCCAAAACAACACAAATCACACCGTGCCTTCCAAAGGCAGACGCCCATCCCACCTCCTGAGTATTCCCTACCCGCTTCACCCAATGTGAGGGAGAAAGGCAGCCTGTTTCCTGGAGGTAGAGGTGGGCACAGATGAGCCCGCAGCTTCCTCCCACCAGGGCAGTTTCACGCTGGGGCTTCCTCCTTCTAACGTTTCTTTAATTCTGCAATTTGTCTTTTCTGTTATATTACAAGAAAAATAGGCACAAATCAGGTGATAGGGCTTTTCTTTTTTTTTTTGCAGTTTTTGGCCGGGGCCGGGTTTGAACCTGCCACCTCCAGTATATGGGGCCAGCGCCCTACTCCTTGAGCCACAGGCGCCGCCCTGGCAGGGCTTTTCTGATGCCAGCCTAAGTCATCAGTGATAGTGGCTAGTTACCTGAGTGAGAATGCAGGCAAGTACATTTGCCCTTAAGGACAAAAAAGAAAGGGCTTCTCAAAGTGGGAAGTCTTCCCTCGCACAGAGCACTGGCTTCACGGACAACTCCATCACACGTTCGTACTAATAAACATCATGTTACAATGGATGATGTGCAAGAAGCACAGCAGACTTCTCCTCAGCCCCACCACTCGGTCCTCTAGGCTGGGAGGCTCAGAGATCTATACAAACAGATCGCTTAGTTTGAACAAGGGGAAAGAGTTCTGGGAGAGAGCAGGCAATTTCATTTAAAATCACACCAGTGCTATGCAACAGCCTAGCCCCAGCTTGCAAAGATAATGTACGGATGGACCTCCATTAGGATAAATACTTCCTAGTAATGGGGACACTAAGGAAAGGGAAGAAGAGTGGATGGGAGATGAGATTTATTGAGAAACTTCTGAATAAATTCCTTGCTACAATTGTCTCAATTGTCTGTAAGCCTATTCCTCTACCAGGTCATGAAATCATACAGCAGGAAAGCATTTTGGGTCTCACGATGCCACTTACACAGTTGTTAAAAGATCTGAGGATTTTGTATAAAGTATAAAGTACTTACAGAGCAAGCACTGGGCAAATACTAGCTGTTATCATCATTAATATGATTACCATCATCAGATCCTACAGTTCCTAACACAGAGCCGAGTACTGTGCATTCATAGGAAGTCTGGTAAGTTTTTTCTGAGATGGCTAACATCTCCTGAGCACTTCTCACATTGCAGCCAGTATGGCATGTGCTGCTGTGTGCATCATCTCATTCTGACCTTTAAAAAACAGGTGTCATTGTCAGTCCATAGACAAGGAAAACAAGGCACAAAATAGTAACTTACAAAAAAAAATATAGGCCTACAGCAGTGATTTTCAACTGGTGTGCTACAGCACCTTGGTGTGCTGTGAGAGGATCTCAGGTGTGCTGAAACAATTTTTAAAGATCATTAATTAAATTATTTTTGAAAATAAACAAATTATTTTCGAAAGAAGTTCAAAGCACAGTAGGTATATTCTCTTTTTTACTTTTTATTGATCAACATAATTGAAGTGTGCTATGGAAGTTTAACTATAGGTTCGAGTGTGCTGTGAGATTTTAGAAAGGTTAAAAAACACAGATAAATAAAGACAAAAGGAACATAGAAGGAATTCAAGCCTGGACATTCTAATTCCAGAGTCCCTAGAGCTCAGTACTTCCCCACTCTGGAGAGAGCAGGGAGGGGAGGCAGCGGCTCTGGTCCTGTACTCCTGGGCTTCTATTGGCTCAGTATGAGCCACCATCATAGCCATGATCCACAGGGGAACACAAAAGCACCAGCACTTTCTGTATGTTCGCGCAGCCTCAGGGTAAGCAGGAGGGCCACTGCCTCTGAGTTATTTTTCTTGGACTATAACTTACGTCGACATTAACTTTTTGTAGGATAATGTCTATAGGGAACACTCAACGAACATTTTCCCAAGGGACTAATGCTCTCTGCCAGGCACTTTCATTACCTTGCTTAATCTCACAAAAAACAGAGGCAGGCACTATTATCCCAATTTTCATGAAACAAGGCAGGTTCCCAAGGTCAAATAACAGGTCCTATTCCTTTGAGAAAGGAACCACATGAGCCCTGAAAAACACAGGAAGTGACCTTTTTCCACCTGCCACCAAACTGACCAGTAATTTAAATACCTCTGTGCAGAGCTGAAAGACCCTCTTCTCCACAATACCCAGGAATTAGAGGATTTACAGAGCCACACTGAAGAGACAAAATAGCCCCGTAGGCTGGCCCTCCACTGGCAGTGATGGGGACACCGTGTGCACAGCCCAGCTCCTAGTATCGGAGCCTCTTACAACTCTACCTGAGTCACCCTCCTGAGAACCTACCACCACTGGCTTTATTGTCATGTTACTTGTTCTTCTGTATTTGTATTTGAAGATAATATTACTTAATATTTCATACATGTGTCTTTTCTCCCTAATGCAAGTTTTCTAAAGATAGAAAATTATGATTTACACTAAGCTGGCACTCAATCAATTTTTACCCATCGATGTAGTACCTAAGCTCAAGAGTAAATTAGACTGTATTTGCTTGGTGGATTGTCAAAGAATGTATCAACTTTCAACATTGCATTA